AAGCAAAAAATTGCTACTGACCTAGTCCCTAAAATCCTAAGTGAATGCAGAGCTGCTCAGGAGATTTTTCTCAAAATATCATTGTGGCATAATATTTTGGTCACAATGTCATTTATGCCAGCACCATATAATCTGAAGAAAAGCTACAACATAAGCATCACTATCAACTCCACATTTGTGTTTCTGCCATTGCCAGCACAGTTACATGAGCCGGCATGTTTCAGTGCTGAGGCTACTCGTGGATCCAAGTTGCAGGGTAATTGAGGGAACTGAGGAAGATGCAAGTATAAAATACAGCAACAAACATCCACAAGCCTAAAGGAGCCTTTCTAACAACTTCTTGCTTGACTCACCTTTCATGTCCTGCAGCTTTTTTATGGGGATGATATAAAGAAGAAAGTAGAGAGTCAAAAGAAAATCATCTGCATAATCCAGTTTTATTTATATTAATTTTATGACGCACTTAATTAAAACACCTATTAAAACCAACTGAAAGGGTTTGAGTCACTGTCACAATTTTGTTTTTACAATTGAATTTTTTGTGATTCATTCTTTGGCAGGAAAATCAAGCTTACATCTTTCAAGGAAAGATAACCAAAGCAGAACAGAAAAGATTTCCTTTAGTAGGAACATATGCTTGAATATTGCTTTAGGATAGAGCTCAGTGCCTTAAAGACAAATGCTGAAGCATTTATTGCAGACAGGCAGGGCTTTCTACAGTTGTCATTGGTAAAATCACTTTGAAATGAAAGATCTGACCAGAACTATGATTTGCTACCTAAAAATATTGCACCACATGAGAAAAAATGAAATTATACATCTTGAAATACAAACACTGCTTTCAAGCTCCCTTATAAAATGCTTATTTTTATGGTGCAACCTATTTATTTCAGACATTTAAGGCTTTGCTACATGTAGAAGAGGCAATATTAGAAAAACAAAAACAGTAGTTGGAAGCTGTGAACTACATTTGCACAAAAAGAGAGGAAATGAACTCAAAGATAAAATTAATTGTGAAGCAAACTCTCATAGTTTAGTCAGATATTGATTTGCATCTTAGATCTCTTTTCAGTCACAGGAATTAAATGGAAATCCATGCCATGGTCTTGCTTCCACGACTGTCAGAATTCAGGTTGCCCTGGAGACATGATGCTGCATTCATGGAAGGATAAGAGAGAGAATTCAGCCCTGCTGTTCTTTGGGGACCATGCTTCCAAAATTCTTCGGTGGGCCTCCTTTGACACCTGAGAGCTTGAAGACAAAGCCAGCCAGCCAAGTATTTGTAATGTGAGATGCTACTGTAAATTAAACACTTACTAATGAAAGATCAGAGGGATCACTTTAAAAAGCTAGCTCCCTATTTCTCTGTGTGCCTTTGGGAAATACATAATCATGCTTTTTAGCAGCACAGCCACAGGCACTGTACATTTAAAGCAAGCACAGCAGCAGAATCTCTGTGTCTTATAGAAAGGTGTGACACTGGGTAATGACAAGTAACATCCTGGATATAAGAATATACTTGATTAGGACAGTTCTTAAATCCACATACATATCTATCTAAATCATTCATCTGTAAACACTGGATAGTATCTGCTGGAAATGGAAACTAGAACAAGCCAGCCTTACAGGCAGAGCTTGCTGTGGAGGTATGTAAATCCCTCAGCAGGTCAATACATTATTTCCTCTGTCACATATAGGATTTACTGCTCCTATCAGCATACTGTTCTGTTAATATTGTTGCACAAGAGGCTGGAGTTCAGGAAGGGCTTTGATACTCAGAGAACAAAAGCTTCACACACGACATCAAGGCGAGTGCACCCACGCAACCCCTCTGAGCCTTGGGACAAACGAGTGCAGCTCATCTCCCTCTTTGCATCGCCCAGCAGCAAATTGAGCATGGAGTGGAATGAGGACAGCAGTGAGGGGACCTAGGAATATTGACCTCTTTGACGCGTAGGCCAGAAATTGGGAGCACTTACCAAAACCTGTAAAATAGGAATGGAGTGGAGGATACTGATAAAGATCCTGTGCTGAGAACAGGAAGCTTCACACTGCTGCTAAAATAAAAGAAGACACATGCATACAAAAGAAAGCAACACTGGTGCTGCTCTGTACAGAATGGCACCTGTGTCCTCCAACACCTCATGACCAGATTCACAGTCCTTGCAGGGCGATTGTGAGGGGTGCTGGACAGAAAGACAGCAATGCACAGGAGATAAGCAAACATGAGGAAAATAAGATTGGAGGCAAAGATGATCACTCTGCAAACCATATTACTGCTGGGGAAAGGAGACACCTTCCTATAATTGAATGCTTGTAATTTAGGAGGGATTATATACTTTCTGTGAGTCAAGATGCGCCCAAATGCTTTGCTGCACATCCAGGCCCATGGCTTCCGAGTTTGCAGCCAACGTCAAACACAGGTGTCAAATGCAGAACTGCCTTTCCCCCATCCTGTCTCCTCAGGTTGTCAGTAGAAAGAGACTAGCAGCCATCGATGGAACTAACTTCTACAAATTTATTAAAAACATTTTTCATCTAACTTCCTTAAAAGTTTTCACCTTTGCCATAACTGTGGTAATAAATGCCGTGCTTTGGATAAACATTTCACTAATTATCTCAGGTTTTGATCTACGCCTCTGAAGTTGCACACTGCTTCCCCAGGCACTGGAACTAGAAGTCTGTGTTGGAGCTGCCCTGTTCTACTGGAATAGTGAATAAAGCCTTTCTTGAACATGTTTTAGTAGACTCCATTCAAGTAGATAATGTGAATAAAGAGGCTCATATTCAGAATCTACAATAGTAACAAATGTTAATTGAACAGTAATAATTATCAAAGACAATATTCAATGTGATCATGTCTTGTGCTTGCTTCGGGGCATACCACTATCATAATTAATAATGTTATTTAATAACAACAGTAGGGCAAATGCAGCTTATAAATTCAATTGCAAGGTTAATAAATGGGATCTGATAATTAGTTAGGTATGGCTGAACAATTTATGAAGAATTTTAAGACCTTCCCTAGACATGGTGAATCAGGGATGATGTGCTTGCCTCCTTTAGTGAGCAACAGGAATGAAAAGTAAATAAATAGAGATGAGAAACAGCCTAGTCTCCTCTTTATCATGCCCTTCCTCTAAACTATTTTTTTTTAATACCAGAATTAAAATGCCTTTGTAGCACGGACTTTTGAAAGAAACTATCATTCAGAGCCTAGCCTGATTGGGGACTCAACTTTATAATATCTTCTTATTGCTCGTGGAGTTCTCTACCTCAGTCATTCATGTGCAAAAGGCTGTTTCCTGCCTTGACAGGTTTACAATTTAGGCAATACATGTAAAAGAAAAAAAAGAACAATTGCAGTTACAATTTGTCTCCTAAAAGGTGAAGCCTTTGGTATTTCTGCTTATTCTGATATTCCTCCAGCTTGCACAGTCCTAGCATGACCTGTAAATGGTATTTTTCCAAAGAGAAAGTCTCTGCAATAATTCTTGAGCAGGTACAAACAAGCCAGGGCTTACTATCAGTATCATGTTACTTGACTTAATATACTGTTGAGAGGATTTGAACTCTGGTAAGTAGCATGGCTGCAAAGTCTTTCTCCTTATTGCAAAGATAAATGCATTAGTTCAAAACCATCTTAGAGGTGAGATGGGATAACAGCAAGCACATGGGCACCTGTGATACTTCAGTTGTCAAGTATGCTGCAAAACCAAGTAACTCAGCTGATTTTGATGGCATACTCTTAATACATAAGGGAAGAGGGTTAAGTGAAGGGTACTGACAGACAAGTTTTGGCTGAGCTTCATGTGCAGGAATTGAAGAATACACAGTGCTACTGCTCCCACAGACAAAGGAAAGATACCTTACTCATCTCAGTGCTATGTCAATCAATATCCATAAAGCGGTTCACTCTTCAATACCAGGGGAAAGGAACGGAACTAAAAGGTGAAGGTAGGCTGTTGGGTTGGTTTTTTTACCTAGTGCAGCAAGATAAGCCTGTCAGTGTCCATATAATTATCCTATATTTAGAACAAGTCAATAATATGCATGCACATAATAGATATGCAGACCATATATACCATTAGCTGGTGTGCAGTAATGTGCTTGACAGCATTAAGTTGAGCAGTGTGACTGTTGCCCCAGCCGGATCCTGAACCTCCAGTTTGAATCTACCTGTGAATATCACCATGGTGAAGTTACAAAAGAAACCAAGAATGGTGAAATCAATGGTGAGGTGAGGTTTCTAAAAGGTAACTGAAAATGTAAGGATTTTTATTGTCAAGGACTGCAGTGCTACAGCAGAAGAGGAATTATATTTCTAAAGAATAAGTAGGATAGTTGGCAGAAGAATTTTTTGGTAGATGGTTACAGTCAGAGGATAATATACCCAGAATCAGGCTCTTCTCTGAGAAATACCATTCACAGGTAAAAGAAAGTTATTTTTAAAATCTGTTCTCCCAGTGGACAAGGAAAGTTCTAATTTGGTCAGCTTCGAATCACAACTGAACAAAATGAAAAATAGATTACTCTTCAAGCACGGATAGAATAACTTGGCAGATGATTACAGAGACAAAAGTAGCAGCGTATGCCGTGCAGTGCTTTGCAAACTGCATGGTTTGTACCCCAATCTATCCCTGCCTCCAGGGATAGACGCACAGCGCGAGTGAGCACTGACCTCTAGTGGACAGAACAGTCAGACCTGGGAAAGGTCACTGAATTTAAAATAGAAAGTACGTCATAGGCACCGCTGGCCCAAGGCTTGTGCTTGGCACCTCTACAGTCAGCATAGTTCTACTGTTACCAATCTCTCACTGTCTGTGTGTCAGAAAACATCATGTCTATTGTAAAATCTAGAGGCAATTTTTTTAAGGCCAAAAGAAAACAGTGCACACTTACAATTTGCTTAGTAAGACACAGAAGTCCAACTATTGGTCAGTAAAATTAACTGAGGCTAAATTCACTCAACTTTTTAGATATTTATTAATAACCTGCATTGTTGAGAATGTGTCAATGGACATTATCAAAGCACTGATGTTTAAAGAAAAGACTCCTAAGGAAATATGAACATACATGTCCTATATTAAGAGTCTTAGCCCTATTTTTATTACAATCAAAAAGTACAGAATAGTGAATGTTCATATATTTTCAATGTCTGCCCCAAAGGAGTTTGCTTGATTCTCACTTTCAAGTTATTTCCATGGGAAAAGTCCTTTAAGTGTTTCGGAGCTCTTCTGTAAAGTAATCCCAAGTAGAAAATCAATCCCATGCACAAAATTCTGTAAAGCTTCAGCTGAAACTACTGTAGTTGGGTGCTCTCAAACAGTTAATATGCCAAACAGGCTTCTCTTCCTCTATTACTCAGGTCATACTTAACTTCATTCAACAGTATCACCCAGAAGTTAGTGAAGACTGGAGTTTTTTGTGCTTTCACCACCTTAAAATAGTGACGTTTCTGGAAAACGGTCAAGGAGGATCCATAAACATGGAGCTTCCATCTGGTCTTGCAGAAGTGCTTTGCCAGTTGTGTGGCTTGTCCTTGTTTCCTTTGCATCCTGTCTCACACAAGAATTGTTGTCCCACACCCTAGATATTTATTTTTGCCTCAGAGTGGCAGGGAAGGGAAGGGAAGAAGCAGGAGAATCTCAAGACCCATGAATTCCCTATTGCAAGGCTGTGAAAGGAAGAAGAACTTCTATGAGGAGAGCAGGATGCCAGACAATGCGGCAGACTTATCGTCCTAATACTATTCCAGAGTAAGAGATACTGTCTCAGTCTTTGATTGATATGAAGCCAATCTGTGTTCCAAAGTTAGTGCCATCACGAAAGTGAGAGTAAAATTTATCAGGGTGGCAGGCAGTACAGAAAGTGATATTTTGGTTCTGGTCTGTGACAGAATCATCTTGGATGTTCTCAGGAAGAACCCCACCTCTCTCAAGAAGAATCCTTAAAAAAAGAAAGAGAAACAGAAAATAATATTTTTTTGTACATCCTCACATTCTGTAAGGCACTGTCTTTAAGGCAGGACCTCAAGTACCAGCTGAACAAACTGTGCCAATATTGTGATTGGGACTTTCATTTGCTTTTCTTTTTTCTTTCTTCCAGAATTAGACTAAATTAATCGCTTTCCTGCAACCAGTAAAGCCACATTAAAATTGAACTTTTGTCTATAATCCATAAGCCATCAGTATAACAATAAAATAATAGTTGAAACAGCAAAATTGAGCAGATACCATTCATTCAAAAGTATAATTTGTTGATCTGCAAAGTACTAGAGAGTACTTTAAGATGGTGAGGACCCTCACCATATTAGTGGTGAATAACAGAATATCAAAGTAACTGTTGATAACTAATGTGAAATTAGTCTTTTATTCACTCAGGAGGCTTACCGTGTTGCTCTTCTAATATCAATATAAGGATTTGCAGAATCAAATAGTCTCACACACTGTGGATCAATTCTGTGAAATTCTTTCGCTGATTCACGAGGAAGTTTATAGCAGCAAGGTCCTACAGATGGGCCCAGCACCACAAGGATATCTTTAACATTACAGCCATATTCAGATACCATAGCATTTACTGTGGCCACAGACACTCCTAACAATGTGCCTTTCCATCCTGTGAGAAATGAGAGGTTGAAAAAAAATTTGCATAAATTGTCTCTTTAATTTTCTAGTATATTCTAGAAATATATGCTATTATTAAAGATATAAATTAGAAAATAAATTTACACCTAAAATTAAAAAAATATATCTAATAATAAATTATCTTTTTTAAAAAAAAACAAAACATACACATTAACAGCTACCAGTTTGCTGACATAATTTGGTGGAGATGGAAACTAAAGAGAAGCATTTAGTCTAGAATTCCAGAATTCTTTTTTCTCAGTGTCCTGGTTTGGGCAATTAGAGCATACCTTACAGCTCCTTTGTGCTTGAAACATTTTAATGGGAATATGACAACAGAAATACATCAGAAATGTATTTTTATAGTATGGTGAAAGTGGTTTAATGTTATTTTAGGGAAAAAAAAAGGCTCAAGATAGTGACATTTTTTGGAATAGACAGAAGCCAAGTTTGCACTTGGGCATTGTTTGGAATAGGTAGAAGAAAGTCCAGCTTTGAGTTCTTGTATCTCAATGTGAGTCCAGGGAAATCTTTGCATTGCACAGGGAGTGCAATTCCTACCAGAATGGGCAGCACCACAGACTTTTCTGACAGGATCAGCAAATAGCACGGGTATGCAATCAGCACCAGGAGCTGCTAGCGTAACACCTTTCTGATTTGTAACTATGCCATCATAGCTGTCAGGCTCTGTCTTTCCCATAATACACACTGCATTAGCGTGATCAACCTGTCAAAACAAAACCAGAACATGGACAGTGATATGGCAGCAAAACAACCCAGTTCTGTCTAGTACAAGGTTTTTTCTTTGGCAAGAAACACTCTTCTGCACCAAGTGATTATGCATGGAAATCAGGCACTCACTCCCTTGTTCAAATACCATGCAGATGTACCAGTAGAAAGCCACTACAGAAGTGATGGTGTATTTTTCTTTTGGGAGGAACTGCTCTGATCACTTATCTGATTGTTCTGCTCTGTGGTAAGTTAAATGTTTGAACAGACTTGGAAGAATCAGCGTTGCTTCTCCATATTGTGCCAAATGGCTGATAGTTTAAATGGCTATTCCCTCAGATAAGTTGCCAGCTGCTTCTCACGAGTTCTTGCTGACAAAGGTAAGAATAATGCCTACAGTTTTAGCCAGTGACACACAAAGGAAGATATGACTCATTTACTTAAATCCATTGTTTTATAAGATACCTTGACTCTGTGAAAGGCCTTTGGGTTAAATCCTGCAGCATTAGCTAGCCGACGGAGATTTTCTTTAACAACAATGTTTGGGTCCCTCCGCTTGGAACTGCTGAAGAGATTGCAGGAGCTTAGGGTTGGTATATATGAGATCCCACCTGTCCTTGTGGTGAACCCATGTAAGAAGGTATCATCTGGTAAGGCAAAAAAAGACAACAAATAATTGCTTTCAACACAAGACCAGGCCAGCTATTACATAGTTTTATACTGAAGAGACTTGGAATCAGCCAATCAAGTTGAGTATTGCTTTACCTTGTATTTAGCTGTGGCATTTAAATTTAAGGATTCTACTTTTCTTCTTGCTCATAATCATGCCATGGCAGGGACACTGAGACATCAGGTATGCCAGGGGCCAGAAGAAACTCTTTCCCTGCCTTTCCAGATGATGATGGTAACTCTCCAAATGTGTAATTCACACACAGAGGGGAGGAGATTTTTCTGTCCACGGTAATGTCCTCACTAAACCCAGGACTGTCTTTCCTCTGATCATGCCCCTGGCCTGGAATAGACTTGCCAGTCTTTTGCTGTATTTCTACTGACACTTCTCCCTCTTATAGTCGTGATACACTATTACAACATGATATAGAGTTATTTGTTGCCTGAAGACATTTCCAAATTTTACCCATTTTGCAATTCCCTTGAAGAAGTATGCTTGGTAACAGTCTCTGTAAAACTACTAGCTGGAACTCTCTTTACCTGGAATCAGGGAGGATCTGAGGATGGTGAGCTCCCCTTTCAGGCTTGGCAGGCTTTCCAAGTGCATCTGAATCTCACTTTGGATGAGCGCCATGTCCTGTGAAGGAAGTGTTTGCCCTTCACCCTGAGATTCAGATATCTGTAGATTTTCAGAGCCAGATACCACCTGTAAATCCTCATATTCAAACTGGTAGACTGCTGTAAAGAGATGGTCTATATATGCTTTCATTAAGTCTTTTCTTAAGGTAGGGAGAATAACTTTAATGATGCTTAGGTCTTTTTCATCCAGTCTCTGTTTGATGGTGTACAAAGCAGCAGCTGTAGTCAGAGCACGTACCACCTCCAATCTTCTCTTCAGACTCTGAAAACCTCCCAGAGCTGGAAGCAAGAACTCTTCTTCACCTTTCCTTTCGCTCCCCTGCCTCTGGCAACATATGACATAAACAAATGGAGCATGGATGGAAGAGCATTTCTCAATAGTTTCCAGTGTGTTGCATAGTAATCCTTGGATGTTGTTCTGCAAGTTGGCTGGGATGCTGAACAGATCTATTAGTACTGCTTCCACCATATTCCAGGATATTTAATTTCTACAACCGTCAAGTAGTAACAAACCATGAAAAACAAACAAAAAGGCATGAAAGAACTGTTAGTCCGAACACAGAATAATGGTATTAAGGCAATGAATTCAGTGATACTGGGTAGAGAAGGCACATAGCAGGTAATTACTAACTCAATTTCCTAGCTGCATCCAAAGAAATTGCAGCAAAAGAAAACTAGCAGAAATAGGAATTATTATGTATTTATTTAAGCATTTAGGTATTTCCTTACCACCCCACCTACCTCAGGTTTTTCCCAGGGATGATGAAAGGTTGGTACATAAGATTAGATTTATTGAATCAATTAACCCACATTAGCCTAATGGATCTTCTTGATATCTGGTTGATGGGCCCTCCTCCAGCTTCCAGAGGGCAAGCAAATACAGAGGTTCCTTAGCTTGCTGGGACTGGAGTAGTTTCTGTAACAATTTTTTTTGAGCTGTTTAACACATTGCTGAGGTGGAGCTCGTGTCTGCTACCCCTCCTGGCAGCAGAGTGCTGGGCTGTGAGCACAATGACATTTTTTCCCACAAGACCTTTTGTACTTCTCTCTTTTGTGTTACCAAAAGTATTGACTTGCTAATTTCTAACTTCTGTTTCAAGGGGCACGTGATTGGTATAGTTCTTCTTTTCAGCACGCACAGGAACTCTGCACAGGTTACCGAAACTTCAGCTAGTAACACAAGAAGCACTCAGAACTAAATTAAAATAATTAAATACTGTGCACAACTTCCTGCTTCAGTTTTATAACACTGCTAGCTGCACTCTTTGCTCTGAAATCAAGACGTATTAAGCTTATCCCAAATCATCCTATCGTTCCTGTTTTCTCTTGTGGCCCATGGTGTAATTCCAGGTTTGGTGGTTTGTTTTTCCCCCTTTCTGAACATTGTTGATCCAAGCCCAGCTAGGCCTACCTGTGGAAACTTGTCCATCCACTTCTTCTCTCTGTTGCTATGAGAGCCTATTTTTCATATCCTCCCAGAGGTGTCTTACTTTCTCTCTCTGATAATCTTTCAGTTTCAAGGGCAAGCCTCCCGAGGTCTGGAACAAAAGGCTAAAACCCTCTGCTTTGGGAACCTCAAAGACATCTATTTAGACTTCATGACTAAGCACTATGCTTGATTTAGGAGAAATATACATGGCTTTGCCATCAGTTCCAAGACCCCATAATAATTTAGAATATTCTTTAACACTGTAATTTTTTTTACAGCAACAAATTGTGCATGAATATTAATTTATTTGTAGGAAAATTAATATCTTTCCAGAAACAAAGAAATTGAGAAGTCTTATGAGTCTTTGAAATCAAGAAATAGTGGGTACAGGAGTAACCATTAGGAGTACAAGGAAAAATGGGCACAAACTGAAAGAGGGGAAATTTAAGCTAGATATTAGGAAGCAATTCTTTATTGTGAGGGTGGTGAGATACCAGAACAGGTTGCCCAGGGAGGTTGTGGATGCCCTAACTCTGGCAGTGTTCAAGGCCAAGTTGGATGGGGCTTTGAGCAACCTGGTCTAGCAGGAGGTGTCTCAGCCTAAGGCAAGGGGATTGGGACCAGGTGATCTTTAAGGTCCCTTCCAACCCTTAACATTCTATGATTCTATGATCAATGCTCTGCTACCAGAGCTAACTGCATCAGATAATGCCCGGCACTATTTTCCTGTCCCAAGTCCTTGTTCTCCTGTAACTACATGCATGCTCTGGCTTTACAACACTTCATTATTCTGCAAAAATACTACTTCTGTGTGTACTTGAGGCCTACTATTATGGCAGACTTGGGGTATTCCTTGGCATTTTATGCTTTAGAATGGATTCCCAGATTTTCTACACTCAAATAAAAGGTCAAAGACCTTTCTGTTTTTAACGGACAGTTTATTCAAAGAAGGTTTTACAGAAAACATTCTGTATTTTCTTCATTGTTCTTTTCCCCAGACTGGAAGAAAAATAATCCTGACTGAAAATGATGTTTTCCTTTCAGCGAATTGAACACTTACAAAGATTAACTAGTGACTATCAAAACAGGTAGACTGAAAGAATCAAAATGTGACAGCAGATAAAAGAATCTGCCAGGGAATTTATGACTCTTGATTTTGCTCAGAGTATTATTTACACACAGCTGATAATGGATTTTAGAAAAAACAGCTTGCTAAGAAAACAGTGCCAAAACAGGCTCCTGTCTAAGACCATGACTTGGGAAATCAGAGTATTTCCTTTCCTACCCTGACGCTCTCTGTGGGAGGCCTGTCAGAGTATGACACGATCACAATCTAGAGATAGCTAATAGTTTTATATAGGAAAGACAGTACAATAGGGAGCTGTACATGAAAAACAGATTATTGCTCCACTTCAGATATGTCAACAGTGGAAGGTAAGTAGAGTTCATTGCTGTTCTCGTACTTGCCCAGAAAAATACCAGCAAAGAAAGGGTGGAAGGAAAGTGTTTGCTGAGGGAGAGGTAATTGCCTACATTGTTAAGTTGTGTGTGTACTGCAAAAAGTCCAGAGGGGCAATTATTGGGATGTACACATAGGAAAAATGGGGCTGACTCACCCTTCCAGTTTTGCATCACAGAGTCCTAGTAAGGTCAGTGGTGTCAGAAATAAACTCGCTTACAATTATAGCAAAACTGACTCCTTTCTAAGCCCCCCCCCCAAAAAAAACCCCTTCTCAAAATACAGGTTTGCCAAGTACAGCAATGTTTTAGCTCATGGGAAATGCATTCTCAGTTATCCAGGTTTGAAGTAACATGCTCTACAGTCCCATTGTTCCGTGGAAAGCCTCTCTGCACTTAGCCACATTAAAAAACCTATTTATTAATGAGTCGATCATACTGGTACCCAATTCAAGACAAATAATTCCACAAACTTGAAGCCAAGGCCACCCATTAGCTATTTTGATCACTCCTTGAAACTGTCAGTGCAAGCGTTTTGAGGGTAAAGAGATTCTCTTGCACAGATATCAAGAAAAAGAAAATCAAAGAAAATTATCAATAATGAGAAGAGAGGTAAAGAGGGTAACAAGAGTGAAAAGTAGAAGGGTAAAGTGAATGCAGAAAAACAACAACAAAGGAAGTAAAACCAAGCTGCAGAGAAAAGAGTCCAGGGTAGAAAAAAGATGCAAAAAAAAAACAATTTAAAAAAAAAAAACAGCAGTCCAATTATAGAAGTTCCCTGTTGGTCAAGACAAGATTGCTGACAATTTCCTGCACTTTGAATCCTGCTGGTCACCTGTACAGAAACTCAGAGAAATGACATCATTTTTGGAAAATTAAAAAGGCAAGAGATATTTAACATCTGAAAGAGGGAGATGCCCTGAGAAAGCAAACAGGTCATTAAAGTTGCTCAAATGAACAGGGATAAGAGCACAAAACCAAAAACAAAACCTCAAACAAATAAACAACAAACCCCACAAACAAACAAACAAAAAACCAAAACCAGGGAAAAAAATAGATTTAAACCTCTTAAATTGGATTACAATAAAACAAATTCCCTCTCCTAATTAGGTGTATTTAGGCAAGGTTGAAGAAACAGAGATAACCACATACAATGAAAATATTAAAGTACATGCAGTTTTCATAAACAAACTCAAATTTTAAAACACAGGAATTTACTTACACAGGTAGACAATCCTTTTAAACTCTTGGAAGATACCAACTGATATAATACACACACATTTCCAGCTTTATATATCTCACTTCTTTCAGTCTTGGAACTGATTTGTACAAGATGGAAATTCCTATTCTATGCAAGATAGCACTGAGAACCTGTATTTCTTCTTTTTGATGGGACCCTGCTTTGTTGCTGAGTCCACCGGAAAGAACGAACTGTACCATAAGGCACCAACATGATTAACAAGTGTCTGGGTAGCGCTGAACCCGGAAGCAGCGTTAACCCTGGCATGCAACTCCCTGCTGCAATCACACCTTCTAATACACCAGCTTTGCACAACCTCAAACCCACTCAGAAACGTATGGTGGAGCAAAACAGAACAAGAACACAAAGAAGTTCAAGGAAAACTTGTGCAGACTGAAGGAGTTTCCTTTTCTGAGCTGTAGCTGCATGTTCCGGTGAATAATTTGGCAGTCAGTCAAGGAAAAGTATATTCCGGATGAGAGAGAGGTTATGAGAGGTTAGCCTTAGGGGCCACAGGCCCCAAATGACGATGGCAATTTCTTGTTGCAGCAGTCAGAAATTTCGCAGAATGTAGTGAGAAAGTCTTAATCCTTTGACAGGACAATGAGAAGGTTAAAAGGCAAGTGGGGAAATGAAGGATTTACATCAGGCTTTGTACAAAAATCAAATGGTAATAAATACGTTTTGTCAGCTGTGTTAAAATCATAGTCATGACAGTTAAGTATATGACAACTGAAGAAAAGGACAAGAAAAAAAAGGAAAGTAATTTATTCAGGAACAGATGAATTAATAAAATCTGATTTTCTATTAATTGCTGTCTCCTGTTCCTCCCTTCCCTGCACCTGCAGTAAACGCACATTACTGCCAGGTCCAAAACACACCTGGGGAGAGCCCTGGCATTTCCCCTCCTTCTTTTCTTTCCAACTTGTGCTGGGCAGAGGGATGAGAGCTGAATTCTCCTGGTTCTCTCTCCTGAAGAGAACTGATGGGGTTATCTTGTCCTTCTCCATCCAGACATCTCCCTTCATGAAGTTTGCAGAAGTCGGTCGTCTCTGAGGCGTTCCACCCCACTGTGGCTGAATTAGGTCATTAAAAATTAACGGGAGTACTAGGTGGAGAGAGACCAACGCAATCATTTTCTTTCCTTCAGTGAGACTAAGGAAGAAACTAATTACTGGGGTAATTTTTGGTGTAGAATGCTGAGAAGAAAAAGGTCAGAAAATATCCAGGGGTACAAAACAATATTAAAAAGTGACAAATTGACAACTCTGGCTCAAGTATTATATTCAGCTTATGCCGTTGCAAAAAAAAAAGGATTAAATAAACAGATCATATGAAGAGATAAGCAGTTAAATTATCAAATAGTTGTTATAAAAATACATATTTTTACATTTATATATTTAAGTTGTTTAATATATATATAGTGTAAGTTCTTTAATAAATATTTATATATTTAAGTTATGTTATAAACATAAAATATATGTTATAAATATAAAACTTATAAAATAAATTCTAAAATTTAATTATAAAAGTAGTGCAATTTAGGGTTAAAATCCCTCAACTTGGAGTTCAAAAGCATACGAGTGTGCACAAGGCAAGTCCGTGCCTACAGCACAGGACACGGCATAGAGCAGGAAAAACTAGGCCACGTTTCCTCTCCCTCGTAACCCAGTGGTGCTCAGCAAAACCTGTTTTCTCTGCATAACAAACTATGGCAGCAAATGCAGTTTAATACTATGAATTAGGTAACCCGGGGAACTAAGAAGCGAAAGGAAGCTGAGTAGAATGCCCTCGGCCACGAGGTGGTAAAACCGCTATCGGTGAAGCAGCCACCCATCTCTGAACGCGACCGGTTGTTCCCGCCGATTTTTCTCGGGCTCCTGCCGGGATCAGCACCTTTCCCAGCCCCTGTGCCCTGACCGCGGTTCTCCGACGTCCCCTGGGCCCCTCCCGCCGCGCCGCCGGGCGGCCCTTGGCCGGCGATCCCCGGGCGGGGGAGGCGCGGCCATGGCTGCGCCCTGAGGAGCGGCGGTCCTGTCGGTACAGCAGGTGCAGTAAGGCCTCCGACTGCATTCACGAGCCGAGGATCTGTGCTGCAGATGAACACTGCAGTGGTTTATTTTATAAAATTCTGCAAGCAAGCGTTCTAATTCTCAGTGATTAGCTTTGAAAGTCTACCCGTTAGTAACCTGTTCTTACTAAGTAAAAATCAGCCAAATGAAATAAAATATTGATCTGCGATTCCACGAGAAATCCCTTAGTATTGTTTCATCAACAGGAATTAAATTAAAATGAAGATAAAACAGTTCACTTTTTTTTTTTTCTCCCCCCTCTAGTTCTTCACTTTCACCTAAAATGGCCAAGCAAAATTCTCCATCTCTGGTTGAAGTTGTAAAAGAAGTTGCAGAGCGGCAGCATTCACAGGCGTCAGAGATAGAAAAAAGCAAAACAGTTCTTTTCCAATTGCAGGTAATAAACCTTGTTCAGAGTAGTTTAACAATTTTTTTCTTTAGGTGAAAGAAGTTAGGTGAAGAAGTGTTCCTATGAAAAAGAGAAGCTGATAGTAACATTTTTTTCTGGGCAAGTGCAACTGTAAGGCAGATACTCAGATACATTTAGGCTTAGTCAAAACTGTGGATGTGTACTGTTCTTTGTAAGGCCACAACAGAGCTAAGACTTCATTAGAGCAGGTGAAACTTTTGATTTTTACTTGGAAAAAAACAAAAAATCCCCAACAAATACTGAACTGAACACACAAAGCAAATCCACAACAACTAAATGCAAAGTTAGGTCTTTTAAAAGTATTTTTTATAGTGATTTCCTAAGAAAATTGGTAGGGGAGAGGGGGAGGGCGGGCAAGGAAGGATTTTAAAACCATTTTGGTTTTTTTTTCTCTTTGGCAGATTTTCACCAGACTATATAATCTTTTTGACACAAAATGCCTTTTTTTTTTTTAATGTGTGTTTGAAGTGGATATCCTAAGTAGTCATTAAATACTGCCTTTATTCAGTACTGTTAAGTAGAACACTGGATACATGTAGTTTTTGTGAAGACTGTGCGATCATTTATTTCCTAATCTCTCAGATAATTTATTAGCTTTCAATTATTATTTAACCTTTGACATCAAATTTCTTTTGAGTGACTTACTTTTAATTCTGAAAAAAGACACGATACCATTTGACATTTTTCAGTATGGGAGAATGCAAATGGAAATAGTAGAGTTCCAATTATAACATCTGTGAATAGCTCTACAGCTGAAATAATTGATGTTTGAAATTTTGCACAAAGATAAGTTCTCTGAAGTAACAGTGAAAACTTGTGTTTCTTAGCAAGGTCAATGGACTGGCTACATTTGCAAGAAGTTTTCTTCCCATAATATAGTATGATGACACCGCAACAAAAATTAGTGTCACCAAACAATTTAAACAAAGGCATCTGTTTTCAAAAAACCCCACAGAACTTTAGAGCCCTGGGTAATCGAGTTAGTTCATTTATTGTTTCCTCTTCTATACCTATTTCTTTTTCTTTCAAAAAAGACCAAACCCTAGGAAATTTCATACAAACATTAATGTTAGAACAGCAAAGTTAAATAATTAGGAACTTTTAATCAAAATGTAGAACTACTTTTTCATCTTTACATCAATTCCCATGTGTACATGTCACAGAAGACATGGAAAACAATAATTTCCTTTCCAAAATTTAATATCTTTGCCACTAAGATCTTTTGCTTTCCTATCCTCAGTAAAAGGTGGCTGGCAGTGATAAAATCCTGTAAAACTGTAGCCTAGGATTTCTAAATTAAAAGTCATGCAGGAACTTTTGTTCTTAACAGTTAATAATGTCTTAATCTGTTCTAGACATTGAGTAAGAGATTTCATACCACTCGTAATGCTTCCGTTAGGGAAAAGATAATAGGTGACATAAATCACAATGCTAATTATCTCACAGTGCACTACTGTTGGCAGGAACTTTGGGTGGCATTCATCATAGCTAACTTGCATGGCCTACAAATCAGATGCTAAGCCTGTATTAGTCATCTAGGCTCCCTTGCTAGTCATCTAAAAGAGAGAAACATTTCTGAGGCAGCACTTCAGCCCTTCCATCTTAGATTTATGTGTAGATGTGGTGGTCAGGGAGGCGGTTTAGTGGTGGACTCGTGCTGGGTTAAGGGTTGGACTTGATGATCTTAGAAGTCTTTCAAACCTTAATGATACTGTGATTTCTTGCGATAGGTGGAAGTACTACTTCTGCTTTTGTTCACTTCTCATCAGTGAGATGAAGAGGCCTTTTTAGGGCTAGATACATATTTCTTGGGGGGTTGAAAATAATGGGGGTTAATCCAACTCTCAATACTACTGTGATGAAGGCAGGATTAAAAACCTCAGTAGAACAGGCTAGTTAAGCTCCATCACCTAGAACACCACTGTGTTTGTGGTTTTGTAAGTGATTTTTGGCATCTTTAGTTATTTTTAGTCCAATTAGAACTTCGCCAGATTTCAGCTCTAAACAAACACTAGGATTGGGTTTGATCTACCACATCCTATGTATCTTGCAAATATGAGGAATTTAAAGTAAGTTCAAGAATACCTTATTTCATATTTTGGACTCAATCTAAGGGGATAAAACTAAGTATTCTTCCACTGTGCCTCTAAGGTGATGATTTTAAGAAATGGAACTAATTATCTTCCATGCAAACCACATTATGCAAGTTAAAAAGAAGATTCTGTTGAATAAATATAAATTAATTACAGTGTAAATATAAATTAATTACAGTGTTTAACTAGACACTTCATATCCTCCCAAAGAAATATTCTTAAGATACCACTGAAATGTTTTACAGGCAAAGTTTCAGGAACTAGAAAAAGAAATGAATTCTATTCTGTTAGAAACAAAGACAACAGAAAAGGAAATACATCTGCAAGATGATGCCATAGAAGTGACAAAATATCACTGTGAAAATCTGGAGGCCCAAGTCAGAGCCCAGTACTGTGAAAATTTAAAGCTGAGGTGTGATGCAGAAACAGTGCAAGAAGAGTTTGAGATGATACTTGCAAGAAATAATGAATATCGGGAAAAAATAAAGAATCATAAACATCGCTTTTGGGAGATGGATAATAAAATGCCAGTTATGATTGAGCTTGCTAAAAAGAAGGCTATTGTTGAAGAATTAAAGACAAAGAAAGAGGAGTTAATGCGTGATCTCCAGAATCCAGAAGGATCTGTTATAAAACAAGTGCAGGTATTATATTTCCTTTTAATTTTTTTTCCTTTTATGTGAAATAATTTTGACATAGTTTTTATAATATGGTTATTTTGTCTAATATGTTTATGGTTCATGGGAGATTGACTACATGAGAATATAGATAATTTATAATGCTACATTAATTAAAGAAATTTTTACTTTGGTATGCAATGAAAAAAATCAGCCATTGTTATCTCTATATTTTTGTAAAAGACAGGTTCATTATGTGTGATTGAATGAACTCAGATATGAAAAAAATTACTGAGCTTTTTATCATTGGATATACTTCTGTGGACACTTTTCAGAATTCTGTGAAAGCTTGCCATATTGTTACATTTTTCATTTAAGAACACACTATTCTTTAAACTTTCCTGTCAACAAACTACAGTTGAGCTGTTTGCCAAAAGGAGCAGATGTCATGAGATGGTGATAGAAAGAAGAAGGCAAAAAAATACTTGTTTTATTATTTTAGTCTAACACTGTTGTTTTTACTTGACCCTAATTGCAATACTTATTAAGCACTACCACATATGAATTTTTCACCACAAAATTTTGCCAGTATATGAACAAACACGAGTATGAAGTTGGAATGGGATCACAGATTTCAACTCTGATGTAACTTGCATTATTGAAAATCTGGTGTTACTCTATTTATGTAAATGGATGAAAATCTGTTTGTACAACAGACCTTTAAATACTGATAAATAAAGACTTATTATCACTGTATTTCCCTATGAGAAGGAAAAATATATCTCAAATATTGCATTAAATATTTTTTGCTTTTACAATAAACTACACTTTAAACAAAATAAAGACTGCCAAAATGAGTTCAAAGTCCTATATTGTTGTAGTTTTCGTATTTCAGATCAGGAATATATACTCCTACATGTCTAAACCTATGTTATAAAATATTTAATTATTAATTTTAATTAGTCTTCTTAAATTATTATTAATTTAATTATTATTAATAGGTTTATTGTGAAATTGTTTATTATAGTTCTTTTTCTAATCTCTATTAACGGAGTGAGACTGTTCAAATGTGACATTTTTAATAAGTTTAACAGATGTACTGTGCCACATTTCAAGGAGTGGATTTCTGTATCTTGACTTACATCTGCAGGAAGAAATTACACTTTTAAAAAGTGAAATCACAACATTGAAAGATTTCATCAATCAAAAAACAGATCTGCTGGAAGTAGAGAAAAAAAAGCATGCTAAGCTTAGAAAGGAAATTGAGGTGAGTCATTTAAATAAAATTTAATTACAGTTCTCCTGACAGAATGTAGATAGTGAAAATGAAGTTTGAAGTACTTTATATATCATTGCTGGCCATACATTGTTCAAGTATATACAGTAACTATGCTATCTTAAACTCTGGGTACTGACACCCTTTCTAAAATTCAGAGCTTTATTGCTGTCTTGAGAAAAATCGAAGTTAAGAACATTTTTTCTGAAGTCTTTTAAGACGGAATTCAGCTGTGACATTTTAGAATGCTGTCCTGAAAAGAAAGAGGTCACTGAATGGTAATAAAGCAAAATGCATCTTTTAAAATTTCTGTAATGCTTCTGAAATACTTTAAATTTCACTGCTGATTTGATTATTCATGACTTGTCTCATGGTTCCTGATGTCTCATCAATGGGACAATCAACTGGATGAAGAAAATGGACTTCCCGTGAATCTCTCTAATTTGAACTGACATTAAATTAGGAATAACACAGAAGCTCCTAATTAACTGCCAAGATAAAATTCTGATAAATGGTTAAAACGTTCTCTTTTAAATAATTGAGCTATATTTTATATTTTGTTTCTTACTAAAATACTCTGTATGTCTAGATAGTTTTTAGTTTGGAGTTTCACGTAATTATTCTTGTTAGTTCAAATAAATGCCACAAAATTTAATTAGCAAAGCTTGGTACTATAAAGATGAACTGATCTAAGGTTAGCTCTATTGCCCATTGTAAAATGGGCGGAGGAAGAAAGAATAATTTTTCATGTGATAGGGAATGGCAGAGAGTTTTTAACCTGAAAAGCAAAACACAGCTGCTTTAGAAGAGGTCTGTGCTACTCAGCATCTGAGAAAATATTTTATTACCAAGTCAACATCCTCCTAAGAAAGTTCTCTAAACTCAAAGTGAAATTAGGCAGCCTAGAAATAATGTTCTGTTCTGTTACTGAAATTAATTTAAATAAATAGTGAAGGTTAACCTGTTCTTTGGTTGTTTGGATTATACAATCTTTTTGTCTCAGAAGGAAGCAGGTTCAAAAACTAAATCTTTCACGTATTATTTTCTACTAAGAACTCCCTTGAAAACAATCCAATTTTTAATATAAAAACTGACAATGGATAGGCAGAGACATTTATACCCAGCAGTCCTCAGCACAACTTGGGAAAGAACATTCAAGTCAAGCACGGGAATAAAGTGAGATACTAGTCACATGGATGAGGTTCCATTGGGCTGCAGTGGCGGAATTCAGCTATAGACTGCTGACAGCTAAATGTGGTTGGTTGAATGCAAGTGACTACACATGAGTTAGGAAAGTTTCCATTATAGCCACTGGAGCTGTGGTTAGTGCAGTTGATGTATTCTAGAGATCAATTCAGTCCATAAACCTACGTGTTTACAGTAGGATGAGTTGCACGGTCTGGTCTTTCTAGAGTTTATACTTTACACTGGGTAGAGCAAACAGACCTGGTGAAAGATGTCCCTGGCCATAGCCAGCGGTTCAGCAAGATGATCTGTGAAGGTCCCTTCCACCCCAAACTATTCTGTGATTCCATGATTAATAAATTTACAAAGAATATACGAGCTTCCAGGTTTCTGACCTTTCAGATAGAAGCAGGTCATTGCATCTGATCGATGAGTTTGCTGTTGCTTTAGGATTTTTGGAGCCTTTATTCAGCAATCATTTTAAGCACTCATCCAAATCTGCCCCTATACAGCCTTATACTTAAATACCTATAGAATTCCTGTTGAAGCCTTGTTAATGGCTAAGCTGGTACTCAAACAGGATGGATTGACTCTCATAGCTCTGGTGCTCCCACTTTGCTTCAGATTATTTCTGGTTTCCCACAAAGATTTCCCCAGCTAAGCACATGGTGCAGGAATGTAATTCAGAATGCCTTTCTAAAGCAGCTGAATTTTGGAAATTTAAAAATTTTTGATAAAATATCTTTCTGCAAGAAAATTCGTGCCTAAGTGTCCTTTTCTTTTTTTTTTCCAAGTAAAGTCAGTGATCTGACATTGCTAATTAATGAACTCTACAACTAATTCATACCTGGGATGCTTCTTATCAGGCAGGGTACTGATAGACTCTTAAGGCAGCTTGTGTACCTTTTCTCACTCCCTTTCCTGAGCACCATCCCCACCATCTATCTCTTGAAGAGCAGAGCCTGTTCCCAGTCTTGGACAAGGATGTCAGCAATAAATCAGGGTGGTTACCTGTGTAGGGACAAGACTTCAGTCATAAGGACTAATTCAAGATGTCCACAAATAACAGAAAATTTGATGCTATGTAAAAATAATAAGAAAAAGAAAGCTCAAAAGACTGTCTCTGCCCATACTGCCCTCTTTCCCCTATGTCAGTGTGCAACTATATTATTCTTGCAGATACTTGCCTATCCTGTCCTTAAATGACCCCAGTGGTGGAATATCATGAGTGCCCAGACAATTTTTTCTAATGGTTGACATACATGTTCACAAGGTCCTTGTGAACATATATGTCCCCTCTGTCCAGTAAGCATGTTAGTGCCCCCTCCCTCAGCAGATGTGCCAGACAGTTCCCAATAATGATGCTGGGGACACATTTCTAAAACAAGCAGATAATTATTGATCATAGATGTTTCAGTGTCATACAGCATAGACCTGGTGACGTTCAGATCCCCCAAGCACTCATTCAGATGAGTGAATCTGACAGCATCCCTCGAAAAGTTGTGAACGATTACAGCGAAGAGTAAGGCAACATGAAGGAAAACAGCCCATCAGCAGTAAAAGGTGGCAGTGTAATTTATAAAACATCAGTGAGGAAGTTACTTAGCTATATGTAAAATTTAGGCATCAAGACTCACAGGAAGTCACTGGCAGTGCTGTAATTCTGATGTAGCTGCACACCATCGTGTGTATGTTAGGTACAGTGTAATAACATTTCAATAAGCAGACACAAGAGTAATTATACATGACCACTCATATGCCATTCAAACTACGGTAAGCAAGCCCAAATTTTCATTAAGGGAATACCCGTTATTTCCATTTTTATTATAGTCAATGCTTTTACACTTCAGAATGCAAATCTTCAGAGGGTTTTCTGCAGCAGCCATTGTTCTCCATGTAAGGCAGCAATGAGGGCAAAATTGATACACTACAGCATTGTCACAATATTGCCTGCCTATGAGAAACGTACCATTTTAAATGCAATGCAACTACAAAGCTCCTACTACAGCCATCTATGTTACCTCATTTGTATACTCATTTATACCCAAACACATTTGTCAAAGAATGATTTTTTTTCCTTTCTCGCCTCTCATTCTGGAGCCTGAAATTTTCCATGTATGAAGTGTTGCTACTATGTGAGATGCTGACTCTTTGGGTGGGATTTACTATATTAAATTTTAGACATCTACAGAACAGATACCCATACTGGACTCCTCATTTAAGGTCTTAGTGAGACAGAGTTTTTCTTTCCTTATTGGGAAAGTGAGGCATGATTCATATTGTCCTAAAGCAGACTTAGATGAATGGCTTCCTAGATGTCTGCATCTCTTCAACAGCAGAAAGTAAATGTGTAATGACATGGTCAAATATCAGAATGTACCCTTGGACAGAGTTAAGGGAGCTGAACCCACCTCTGTAAATAGTTTTATTTGAATGAAATTGTGAAGTGAATTTTGTTCTTTTTTTTTTAGGTACAGAATAAAAGATATGATGCTATTTTAAAACGTTTGCATTGCCAACTGAACAAAGTCCATTCAAATAAAAGACAATGGCACTGGAACATTCAGCAGTTGGAGAAGAAGGCAACAGAACTAAGGAAGTGTCTTGGAGTAGTGGAGTTACAAAATACCATGTAACAAACATAACAAAGCTAGAATGTAGGTAATCTTTTCCAGGCAGGGAAGATTTTTTCCTGGAAATACTACAACTCTTAAATAGCATGGTAGCTGAGCCAGACCTCATTGATTTCTTTCTTTTTAAAGTTTTCTGCACTTTCATTTTCTGGACTAAACTAAAATTTTTTTTTGTTTGGTTGGGCTTTTTCAGTTTTGGGAGTTTTGTGTTGTTGGTTTTTGGTTTTGATTTTTGTTTTTGTTTGATTGTCACCAAAGGCCATCCAGGAAGAAAGTTATTGACACTTCTGGGTGTTTTCAAAATACGTGTCAATTTTATCTAAAAAGTTATTTATTCTAAGAGTCAACCAAACAAGACTTGAGAAGTTCCTTTTTATTTAATTTGGTCTTTGAAGATTGGGATCTACATTGTTTTCCCTACAGAGAAATGAATATTTGCGTTCCCGAGAGACCAAAGTTCTAGATCTTTTATCCACACTCCTTTTCATTGCAACTTACTAAGGAGCTCTGGAAGCTCTGATGGCCTGTATTTGCTGTGTGGGAAATTCATATAGGTGATGTAACAGGCTGTTTGCCCTGTGTCTGCCAGGATGTCCTAGCATGGGGACAAGGAGGACATAGGCTGTTCAGCTATAAAAGGCTTGGGAACAAGTACACTCAGAACTGGGCTTCAAATAATCTGACTTTAACTGGTCTAATATATGTTAGCAAAGAGGAAGGAGTAGGTTAAGAGGGTACTACATCTGGATAGCCTTTAAAATGGAACAACTCACCCTCAACAGATAGGAAGGTGTTATAGATGATTGATTATAGAGGAACTTATTATCTAGAGGATCTTAACTAACTAGTATCAGCCATCTAACACCTAAGTGTTTAATATTTAGTAAGATGACTCAACATAAATGACAACCTATTAAAAATTCTTGTTAAAATAGTAGTGAACAGTAGCCATTTTCCTTTGCCTTCTTTTTATTATGTGCTTGGCATTTGAAGAATTTACATTACTTCCTCTGCTCTTACACTTAAGGTAATAGTTCTGTTTGGACATAACTTGTAAAATTTATCTCTTTTATGAAAGTTGCTTTTTATTTAAGGTGTTATCTTGAATAATTTAGATTTAGACTTAAGCAATTTGACTATTTACTCTGAAAAATGTTAAACTGCCTATATATTGTTAGCTTAGGAAAGCAAAGCTTAAAATACAGTACTATTATTACATTCATATATTCATGTTTATTTACATTTCCCTTAATACGTTATTTCCCTTTAGTATAAAGTTATTTTAAGCAATATCCTGAGTCATGAAGGTGCTTTCTCAACATTGTTAGGCTCTGAAGATTTTTTGCCATGATCTTTTTCCTTTGCAATAGTATCATCCAGTCTGCTTTCATTAAAACAATAAAGTAGAAATGAAAAGCTCAGTATCCTATGCTATAGTAACAGTATGTCCTGAATATTGAGTCTTATCAAGTATGTAGCATTACTGTAACATTACAACTGTTCATCCCTACACAGACCAAAATAGCATGCACTTGATGCATGTGTATCTTCTAGAAAGGGATCCAAATTTGAAAAAAATCAGAGAATTTACTGTTATTGTTATTTTCAGGGATTAATTGCTCTTCTCTTGTTTTTCATGATTTCTAATTTCAACTTTTTCAGCCACCCAGTGAAATGAATGTACTTTATACAAAGTGGTTTCTCTCCATAAAAATACTTATGTACTGTCTTTTTGATGAGTTAAATAGTTCAAGTGTTTCAAAGTTATTGACTGTCAGATCTGACCAAGAGCTTTAGCTTAATGTATACCCCCAAAAGTGGTAAAACACCTTACATTTTCAGGGGATTAAGACTATAAGCCATTAAGTGTGCCTTTTACCACTAATATTATCTAATTTTCATATTTAGTTTCTAATTATTTAAGATCCAGAACAATTAATGCACCAAAATATGTTTTGTATCAGCCACACAAATTACTTCAACCAAATTCACTTTAACATTTGTTACCACGGTTATAAAATCACAGTTTAACCTTGCACTTTATTACCGGTTGAAAACAACTCTAGCAAACAATCCAAACCTTCTCATGTAACAAAAATATCACACCTTGGTTTTTCTTTTTCACCAATGAAGATGTTCATCGTTACTTCCCTGGGTATTAGGGTGGTTTCTATGTATCAATACGTACAGCATGACTCACTTATATCAAATACCTTGGACTTACGTTTTCCTTGTTCCTTTTCAAAAATCTCATTGTTTCAGTATCTCAAATTACTTTTATAGTTCTTCGTACATGTTTTGAAGTTGTTTAATATAATTTAACAGATATGCATACAAGAGCTGTATGTAATACTCCTGTTAGTGCTCCCTTCTCCTGTGGAGAGGCCTACCTATCATTCAAGGCCCAAGTTTTCTCATACTCCTTTTTGCTCATTGCAGGCGAGCTCACCTACTGGGGCCCTTGACCCCTTCATGGGATCTCCACTAACAAAGGTGTATTCCTCCTCTTTTCTTTGGTGCAAAACTTTCTTTTTTAATATACATATTTTAATGGACTCAGCTTATCTCAATTGTGTCTCAAATACTCTGGTAACTACCAGGGATTCCCAGGTAATAGCTAACTCCATATCAAAAAGATCCCTGACCATTTGTGATTCAAACTCATCTGTACATGCTAGAAAGGAGCTGCTGCATGGTTTAGCTGTATCCCCAAATGAATGGTGGAAGCTTTGGAAATTAAAGCATGCCTCAGCTCCTCAGCTTTCTTGCCGCAAAATGTAGCTATAATTCAAGTACTTAATATGTGTCTGGAATATGTATAACTGTTCTGCTCTCATTTAATTAAGAAATTACGCTAGAAAGAATTTTATCTTTAATCCCATATCAAAGAAAAATACTATTGTTGGTCATCATACAAATGCCTATGGAATTTACTATGAGAACCCATTCATACGTAGTAGTTTCTTTGACAAATTTTTGGAAATGCTTTATCTAGTCTTTAGTCCATTTGACTTATGCTTTACTGACTATATAGAGTATGAACTCTATAATACAAAGTCCATGGTGTTGAAAAGTCTTTCTTTTTCTGAAATTATTTGTTACAAGATATGAATGCTGACTGTTATTGTCATCCTGCATCTCTGTCCTAGTTAATTGCCACAATTATAATCTCTCATTCCACATAAACACACCATTTGTGTGTTTAACTCAACTGCCTTAAACACCCGAGTTGATTAATTTCTAATCTTGGAAGCTTTGTCCTGAGTTCCTACCAAACTTCTACTTTAGTCATTGACTACACCTGAAATCTGTATTCAGTGCTAAACACCACATTTTAGAGGATCAAATACATTTTGCACGCTTCCAATAAACAGAACTTCATATTACACAGTACTTATATATTTTCCCAGGTGCAGCATTTCACATTTAACATTCAGTATTTAACAGATAGGAAATATAAGAAACATTTTACTAAGGAATGGCAGTTAATTGGGAGAAAACCTGATCTCGAAAAAAAAAGTCAGCTGAAGTGAGGAAATATAAAAAACTCCCTTCTCTAAACTATCAGCATTCTGTGCAACATATGAAAAAAAGAGAAATGTATGTAGCTTTTTATAAAAATGCCTAATTCCAACAAATCCTAGCAACCTGCTGAGGCAAATTTTTCTTCATATAGTGTTAACCAGTAGCAGGTTGATCTCAGGGCATTTTTTTTTCCCTTAGCAAGCAAGCAAGCACAGACAGTAGGAGAATGATTTATTAATTTTGGGAAATAACTTAGTGAATGTACTTTGTATTGTTATTACATGAAGCTTTCCCAGCTCCTATTGGAGAACCATGCTGCCAAACCCATATAAGTCATTTCTGAGGATGGGTGTGGAGCTAAGGGAAGAATTTTTGGCTTCAGTACTCTCCAGGCAACAGCAAGAGGAGTGATTGCCCACTCTGAAAAGCAAAACAGACACCAAGCAGGGACAGGCATGTAAATAACTGAGAGTGTAGGAAAACTTATCAACCAACGACTCCTACCCACCACTTAACAAAAGTCTAAAGCACAGGAAACTGGATTTATTCCAACAATATAATGTAATGAGAAGGAAAATACTGGGGGAACTCCACACTTGACAGGGAAAAAATACAGCTGTTGAATCATTCTTGTCATGCAGCAAATGCACTGGTGTATGATAAAGGGAAGGATTTCCCCATGTTTTAAGCTGATGCTCCACAGGAAACCCTTTCAGTGACTCAAGAACCTCAGGTGCTGAAGCAGAGGAAATGTGTCAGATAATGCAGACATACCTGCTAAGATCGCTGCTCTCACCAAGGCTACATGAGATAAACAACAGAAGAAGGAAGGTGGGTTAGAGATAGACGCCAGTGCTGTGCTGCTTTGCCTCTCTTGCAGTTTGCTTTGGCCCTCAGGAGAGTCACTTGCAGAGAGCTGTGTGCATGAGTGTGGCAGTAAGTAGTGCATGCTTTTCTACTATAGTTCTTACATGATGCTTCAGAGGAAGAAGAAATCATGACCACACTATGCATTGATGATACATCATGCTGCTGAAGGTGGGGAAAAACCCAGCTTTCAGAACTCTTACCTGATTTTCTAAAATGGATGAATATATCTTTATCAAAGTAATTATTAGATCCTTTGTTAAAATGAGGCTGTAGTATGTAGGTCTGAGTCATGTGGAGGCAGTGACTTCTTGAGGAATTCCAAGCAGTACTGAAATATTTTTCTTTTAATTGTCTGCTTTGCAGGAGGCAAACGGTTTTTCAGGAACACGGTTAAGGCAATGCAATGAACCACCTCAGAAACATGGATTGAGCAAAACTAATTCACAACATCTTTAAAGTACCACACTCAGTTATTTCATTTGGCTTTTTCTAGCATTTAGAGTAAGTGACACATAATGACCTAACAAAGTGAAGAAAAACATTAACCACAAACTGCAAAGGGCAAACCAAGATAAACAAAAATATCTCTACCCTCCCTACCCCTGAAAAGAAATTGAACTGCACATGCCCCATCTGGATGAAAGGGAACCATCCAGAGGGACCTGGACAAGCTTGAGCAGTGGGCCCCAGGGAACCTCATGACGTTCAGCAAGATCAGGTGCAAGGTGCTACACCTGTGTTGGGGTAACTATGGATATTAATGCAGGCTGGGAGATTAATAGATCAAGAGCAGCCCTGCTGAGAA